GATTCTTGTTGGAGGATGCATATTTTTATGAAAATTTCTCAGACATTCATGCCGGTAAATGTTGTTAATACCGTTTATTATAAACAGAGCATTTACTTAAATATTTGTATCTATAAAAAAGAACGTATAAACATAAAAAAAAATGCTTTATGTGTATGTGTACTTGTACACAAAGTTAAATATTGTGATTATGTGTATATCTATATAGATCAAATTGATTTGTTTTTTAATAAATGAATTTATTAAGTCATAAATATTCCATTGTAATAATTATATTTCATAAAATATATGGTCAAAATAAAATATATGGTCAAAGTGCTACTTATATATGCTTTTGTAAAATATAACTCTTAAGATGGGATATTTATAACTTTGTAAATTCATATATTGTTATACCATACATATGGTTTATAATGGGTATGTCCCAATCCTTATAAATACAGTGGAATATACTGTATGTTGATTCACTGTGGGAATTCACTTCCCGGTGTGCTTGTCAAACTCTCTGCCTGAAGGCAGGAAGGAAACCAGATGAGGCTATGTCAAAGGGCAGAGTCTCATCTGAGGAGATAGCTACCTGACCCCATGTATGCAGAGTCTAAGAGAAATTTTTGGCTGAGCATATGGGCTCGGATACCCCACATTAATTTCAGCCTTGTGCCACATCTGATCTTTGTGGGGAGGTTAGTGAGTATCTTCCTTGTGGGATTCACTTGTGATTCACTTCTAGCTCACCACTTGCAGTTGATTACTTACTAGATGCTGCTGGCGAATTTTGTATGTTGTTTCTGTTATAAATATTATTGTTCCATTTCCAAGCTTCATTTTGGTTATTCTTATTCAGTAACCATTTCCTAGGTTACAACACACATTAAGGAATTAGAAACCAATTTGATACACTGCTTGTGAGGTTTTTTGTAGCTTTTTAACTGAATGTGAACTTAAAACTTAAATTTTTACATATGATGAAATCTTTAGTTTGTTTGAGAATTATATTTTTCAGTGTAATTGTTTGAAATAAAAAAAACTATCTTTATAAATAAGAGTAATCTTTCTTTGATATGCAAATAACTAAGATGAAGCTATTTAATCATTATTTCATTTCATAAACTATTAGAGAAGACTATTCTGAATTCAAAATCATGGAGAAGATAACAGGAAACCACTCCACTATCTTTCCTAAAAAGTCGTAGTAATTCACAGATAACAAAGAAAAGGAATCTGAAGAACAATGATTTATTATGTCTTGAAAGGATATGGCTTTTTTTTTTTAAAGAATTTGTAGCGGAAATGTTATGTAATATCAGTACTCTTATATGGCAGTGATTGCTGGACAATCTTGTGCTGGAGAATTACCTTGGAGATCCAACGGAAACAAAGTGGTGTAATCTATACTTGCACATGAGATGAACAAATTGTCAGTGAGGTGAAACATATGAGTATCGGCACTGGAATGACATGGTGCATACATCACTGAGCCAGACCAAAGCTGACAGCATGTGCAGGAGGCTGATTTTCTCACTTGGCAAAATGAATAATGAAGGTGAGTGTTTTTTGGGATGGCAGTAAACTATTGTGCTCAGCACAGTTCAGATCGGTTGTTGTGGTATGTGCAAAATCAGAGTCCCTTGCAAGTGTTGTTTCACTGTCAGTGCTACAGAGGAAACGGTTTCCTGCCACAAGCTATTTTGGTGTTACTACTATGGTGAAAGTATGCATGAGGAATGATATGATAAAAACATTTACTGATGAGGAAATGGTAGGATAGCTAAAAAAGGTAAGGCTGGTGGCAAGATTTCAGATGATGGATGATGTGGTGAGTCTGCTGCCATTGTATCTAGAGGGGATTGCACGTGCCCTCTACATGGAGATGGATAAAGACGACCAAAGGGATATACATCAGATAGAGGCTCAGTTGAAGGAGGCATTCATGAATGTTGTGTTCACAGCCTACAGGAAGCTGATCATGGTTGGGGAGGGGGGTTGTCAAGCAGGTGGATATTTAAGTGAACAGAATCAGGCAGTTCATCAGATTGGCTGGGTTCATAGAAGTTAGGCTGGAAAGGCTCACTAAACTGACTTTTGTCACAGGGTTCCTGATGCCATCTTCATCAGACTTCAACAGATGCCAAACATTGAGACCCTACCTATTGGGAACCTAATTGTGAGATCAAGTGAGATGCTCATCAGGAGGCGGTTGAGTACACTCAAGGTGCTAGTAAATGAGTACAAGCTGACTATAGACACGATGTTTGTTACATCAACTGAAAACATGGCTGACCAACTGACTGATGAGGATGCCACAGCAGTGGTTTAACATGGTGAAGAAAGAAAATGGACCTAGGCCACTGATTGATGCTGTCCACATGGACACAGGCCCAAATCATATCTATCTACAGAAGCAGTGGGCACCTGGAAGTACAGTGCATTACCTACTTTGCCAGGAGAGTGTGCCTGGCAACAACAGGAGTAGCTGTTAAGTCAATCATATGGGCATACAAAGAATGCCAATCTATAGACCCAGCACGAATTCACCAGGAGAAGAGAAAGCTTGACGAGAAAAGTCACTGGTGAAGGTTAGGAACCAACATCATGCATCACAGTGACTGCCATTTCTTAATGCCCACAGACTGGGGACTCTGTTTTTTCCACTTGGAAGCAGTTAGTATGGCAAGACTAGGCAAGTGTTATTCAACACCTGCATAGAGATCTTTGAGCATGGTCCACCGAATGAGCTCCTATAGCAAAGAAAATGGCTCTTACCTCATCAAACCAAGTGACAGCACATCGCGTGTATTCTACGATGGAAAATGTGGCGAAAAAGAAAATTACTTACCAAACAAAAGGGCATGTATTCCGCATGGCATGCTGAAGACGGAATATTTGAATTAAAAAACAAGTCCATCGCAGGAGTCGCTCGCTAAAAAGTATTTTGATATGCAAATTACTGAACATCCTCTCCCAGCTGTCGATGAATGGAAAAAATGGTCGTCCAATAAAAGCAGTTGGTGTTCTCGAATCGGGGAGCAAAATTCAGTTATTTTGGCTACCACGTTTGTTGGAGAAGGACTTATTTTTCTGACTGGTTGCATGCATTGTGATTCATGAGATAGTACCTGTGAATCAAGTTTTCAGCATTTCTTTCTGCCCCCTGATGTTCATGTCCGAACTTAATAATTTTTTCTCTGTGATGTGGAAATAATCTGCGAGAAACGTTTCCTTTGTAATCCAAGATCGCTTACAGCTCCTTATGGAAAATGACACAACTTTCTGCAGCAGAGAGTTCAAAGCTTTTGCACATGAATGGGGAATAAACCTGTGATTCCATTGTGTGTACGCTCCAGCAGACAATGGTTTAGCAGAGTGATGTCATAACACAGTGAAATGAATTGCGACCAGTATGCGCTGTTCCATTCAGGAGGCTGTCTGCTATCGTAACATAATCCCAAAGGATGACAACTTGCATCTAACTGTACCGGTCAATGTGATCTACCAATATGAAGTTCAGGTGAATGATGATGGCATCAGTTACTGGGCACAGCACTTATCAGGTCGGAGATCACATGTGGATCAAGGCACCACAGATTTGGTGTACCGCAAAGTCCAGCAGGGGTCAAGTGACTGAAATAGTCAGCCTATAGTCCTGTCTGGTGGATGGAATTCCCTGACATGTGAATGATCTTTGCACATGCTGCAGTGTCATCACATTGAAGGAAGACTTTGACAGTACAATGTCTTCAGAGAGCAGGCCAGAGAGTCTGCTGCATGACAACAGAGATGCGGAGTCAAACAGTTTGCCCGAGGAGGAAGCAGAACCCTTATCCCGGCCTATGTGAGAAAGCACACAGTGAAAGTGACCACTGCTAGACTGCCACTTTTGTGACCAGGAGATAAGTGGGTGAGAATTACCTCAGAGGTCCAAGAGGGCCAGAGTAACACAGCCTAAACTTGCGCATAAGATGAGCAAATTGTGAGTGAGGTAAACTGTATGAGCATTAGTGCTGGAATGAGATGGTGCATATGTCACTGAGGCAAACTGAGGCTGGCAGTGTGCACAAGATGCTGATTTTCTGACTTGGAAAAATAAATAAAAGAGGCAAGTGTTTGTTGTGATGACAGTAAGCTATTGTGCTCAGCACAGTTCAGAATGGTGTGTGCTAAACCAATGTCCTTTGTGAGTTGTTCCGGTGTCTGTGCTACAGAAGAAACAGTTTCCTGCTACAGTTAAAGAAGAGACTTGAAGCCACAGAAATGTGGTTCTACAGATGGATGCTAAGAACACAATGGGGCAAAAATGTGAGCAACAACAAAGTTTTAGAGAAAATGGAAACAAAAAGGAAACTTATACTTAACATCAGATACTTGAAATTTCTAGAGTACATCATGAGGAAAGCAGGCTTGAAAAAACTGATAGTGAATGTTGGACAATTTCCTCATAGATGAAGTAGAGACTTGAAGTAACAGAAATATGGTTCTTCAGAAGTATGTTGAGGATATGTGAGTAACAAGGAAGTTTTAAAATGAAGATGGGAATAAAAAGGAAACTTATACTTAGCATCAGGAAGAGACAGTTGAAATTTTTAGAGCACATTATGAAAAAACAAGGCCTGTAGAATTTGATACTCACAGGATGGTCTACAATTCTTTATACTTTTGCTAGACAAAAAATCTTCTAATTTTCTGAGTGCTAAATTAACTGATTAGTCAATTATATATGGTTACTATCCAGACCCTTTTATGTATCTCCTATATTTCTCTAGGATGACCTATATTTCTCAGAGGATATTAATGAATGATTTGTCATGCACTAAATTGAACTATCAGAAAACAGAAAAAAGGATTTGACAAAAGGAAAAATAAAGCAAAGGAAGAATAATAAAAAAGCAAGGAATTTTTAAATTCTGTTGTCTTTTGGAATTATCCAAATGCATCCACATGTTAGTGAGAGCAAAGATCCAGCTTTTGATGAAAATGGTAATAAGGAATATTCTGAAACAAACCTTATTCTCCTTTGCAAATGTGTTTCTTGGACATCCACATCAGAGAGCTTTCCAGAGTTAGACCTGCAATCATACCAACCTCTAAGATTAAACATCTTATCAGGATGGCATAAAATCATCAGAGAATTATGAAGATGTCTATATGAAGATGAAAATATGAAATGGCAATTTTATACTCTAAGATTTTCACCAGGAAACATAATCTTGGATTTGATTTATAAAAAAATAAAATTTATTGTATCATAGTGTACATAACTCCTTTGAAGAAATTAGAAAACTTTATACTGTTATTAAAATGGTATCATTTAGTACTGTCTTGTCTCAGAAAGAGGCCTATAAACTTAATATAAGAGTCATAAGCCTATAATCAAGATTATCAGATTGAGCACTAGTGAATTGAGTAACATTTTAAAGCTCAGTGCTACATAGTTCTGAATTTACTTTATTCCCATTAATTGTTCTAACTTATTAAAAGAATACCAAAAAGTCACAAGTAGCAAAATACAAATTTTGTTCAGAAGGATTTTCAAAACAAACTAACCCCACTTAGAAAAAAATGATCAGGAGAAATTTCACTATACTTGAGAATATAATAAACAATTATTTGTTGTAACAGTTTAAAAATATAGTTGTAAAAAGAGACTTAACTTTTATAAACATAAGAATGAATATATTTCTAACTTAAAGCTGTCATAAAGCTGAAGTAATTCTTGCTGATCTTTTTTAGGTTCATATATTATTTTGGTCAACCTATTCTACAGCCTTCTTCAGGTTTACAATCTCTAAGGGAATATAAGAGTTTTTCTGTTTAGAAATGGTAAGAAAAGGAAAAGAATTTTACTAATTGACCCAGTTCATTCCTAGTGGTACTATACTACATACACTACAGTTCAAAAGTTTGAGGTCACCCCTGGTAATTTTTTAAAAATTGGCCCAAAACGTTTTGTACTTTAAATAGGAGAAAATTATGTTACATGGTTAAAAGAAAGTGAGACAGGATTTCTTATTAGAAATTTTATTATAACAAAAAGAAAAAAATGCATTTTATGATTAAATTTTGCTCTTGTCAAAATATCCTCCTTTAGCCTTGATTACTACAGCTCAAATTTTGGGCATTCATTGCAAAAGTTTCTCAAAGTATAAGTTTCATAATTGATCCCATTCTTTTTTTCAATGAGTCTGAAAGCTCTTTTTTCATTTTTTTTTTTTTTCACTCTTCTAGCAAGTTCATTCTATGCTAATTCCGGGGCTGGTTTCAAACATTTGAACTGTAGTGTATATGCTTCTATTCTCAACAAGCTATGTCACATGATTATATCTTTTGTTTGAATCATTGCTAAATGGATAAAAGCATTAGCTTTGTGGCAGCTGTAAGTTCAATCCATGAGTCAAGTAGTTAAAAAAGGAATATGCTTTGGTTCAGTAAAAGAGACAAGTGACATGACAAAAATTATTTAACAAGGAATAATTAAACAATATGAGGAATCCTCTGGTATGAATAGTAGAATGAAAAAATTTGCTCTCATGGATTGAATCAAAAATTAAGTCTAAATTTTCCAGAAAGTTACCAGCAAAAAAAGAGACACGTAAACTCTGCCAGGCAGTAAAATAGCAGAAATGTGACTACAACCAACAAGATAAGGATACTAGTCTTAGCAAATCAATGTATGATCAGTGATTATAATTTTTATATGTGGTATTGTTCTCTAATGATTTCTTTGCTAAAAAAAAGAAATCCATACCATTCCAAAATTCAACATTGGACTGGTACACACTTGTCTGATTAACTAATGAATGCCATTACCTTCAATTTTTCACTCTACAGCAATGCCCTATATTTTTTACACGGACCTCATTCAAAACCTTTTTCCTCCACATATGGTAAGGTAAGACTTTCTTGAGAGCTTGACTCGTTGCTAACAACTCGTGTCACATATGCAATACCATCACAGAAACTATGATTCTATAGTTATGTTAGAATACTTTCTGATTCCCTTCCTGCTGAACAAAGAAATCTTTACCAAAGGACATTGGTTGAAACAATGGTTTATGTTTTTAACAAATATTTAGTCTGGTTTGAAAGAAAACTTATGACAGGCAAATCCTAGTAAACAATAATTACTAATAGTAATTATTAACAATGTGTATTTTTTTTTATTTAACCAACAATGGCTAGACTGCTGTGATAATAACAAGAAAGAAGAGGACAATAGTCCATAAATAAATAAATAATATATATGTCAGTAGATGTTTATATTTGGTTCCTGAAGTTTTGAATATAATGTTAGTCATCAAAGGTTTTTCAATGTAGGTATAATCAAACACTGAATATTACTTTTATCAAATAGGTAGAAAACTATATATTCACGAGAGAATAAAATTTAAATATGATGACAACATTGTTTCCCATTATACAGTGCAACTCAAAAGTGTTTACACCTATAACATTTCTAGAGTCTGTCTATATTTCTGAGATGAGGTATTATGTACATTATTTACATTATTCGGACTATTGTCCTCATCATGGCACAGTGGATAAAGGCGTTGGTTAGATCCAGTGACAGGACCCAAAGAGTGAGAGTTCAATACCCGGTTAAGGCAGTGAACTTTCAGAGGGAAATTAACAGGAGATAACTGATAACTGACATCCATCAAACATGGCACGTGGAACTAGAACAGTCTACCCCGGTGAGCGAAATAAAGGGTTCAGTTTGACATTCCAACCACCTGAAGAAGGCTGGAGTGTACAATGGCCGAAACATTGTAATAAATATGGCGATGAAGACAATAGTCCGAATAATGTAAATAATGAACATTTATAGAATATACAAATTAAGACACTTGTAATAGGTTGTAATGGTAAACATTAGAATAGATATATTTAATTTAAAATGACATCTCTAACATGACAAAGGTTTAATCAATGAAAATCTCCATATTATTTATTTAAGAATTTCTATATATTTCAGGTGAATCAAAAGTGCAGAAATCATAAATTTTAAAATAATGGCTCATGGGAAGATGCTTACTAAAGCCAAAATAGCAACAATAATTAAACAAGATCATTGCACAGTGAAGAAATATGTCAATGATGGTAAAGTTGAGTGCAAGAAGCACAAGGGTGGTTACCCACGTGCAGTTAACAAGAGAGATTTAAGAAAAATTAAAAGAGCACTCAAACAGAACTCTCACAGCATCAGCAAAGAGATTTTTAAGCAAACTGGCATTGAAGAAGAATTGAAAGCAACATGAAATCGCATTATCTGTAGTATGGCAAAACAACGTTCTTCAATTTCATGCTCTTCATTGAGCTAAATGAATTACCTGAAGAGGTTAGAATGGGCAAAAAATTACTTAAAAATTCATTTCCAAAGAGTAATTTGGATGGATGAAGCCTGAGCTACATTAGACAACCCCAATGGTTTGAAAAGAAGTTGTCTCATTCATGTTGGAACTCCTCGCTTGCATTTTAAATACCAACAAAGTGGTGGTGGAGGGTTGTTCTGGTTTAGAATTTGTGGCTCAACATTAACTGGACAATTTCTTGTGCCAGGACTCAAACTGAATTCAGCTAATTATTGCCAATTTTTAAAAGAAAATTTCATACCCTGATTGAATTCACAAAATGAGGAGTTCTGTAGTAATCTTGTTTATCATATATATATATAATCTTGTTTATCATATGTATATATATATATATATATATATATATATCTTGTTTATCATATATGTATATATATATATATATATATATAATACCCTAATGTCATGTGGCATGCTTCATCAAAGAGTGGTTGGCAAATCAAGGTTTTACAAGAGACAAGATTATGGTATGGCCACCACAGATCCCCGATTTAAACCCTATTGAGAACCTTTGGGCCATGGTAAAGCATCAAGTTTATGAAAATGGATGGCAATTTTCTAACAAGGATCACCTGTAGAAGTGTATTTTGGATGTTTGTTCTAAAATTACAGCCAGTGAAGTTAGGAAACTCACTTCATCAGTCAGTAAATGACTTATTGAGCTTCTTAAGAATGATGGTCAAAAAATTAAATATTAATGTGCTCCTTGTGTTTTCATACATTGATATCTCAACAAAGCCATACCAACTTTCATTGGTATATAATATATATTACAACTTTTCATTGTTTTGTACAATTGATTTGAACAGAACCAACTTTTTGCATTGAAATTAAAGTTTGCAAAAGCTTTTGAGTTGGTATCATTTCCTTAATTAATAAAAAAAATCACAAATAAAGCTAATTTTCATAATTTATTCTAACATGTAATGTACATGAGTGTTGTATTTTGGTTCTGAGTATGTTACAATGATTGCAGCAATCAATGGATACAATTAATGCATAAATTCTGATTTAGTTTGAATGCCTGTCTTGTTATATATTTATCTCATGGGACAGAGATCAAGTTCAAAATTGAAGCTTGGCTTCTGATTGATCCACAATCAGTGACCTTATATCCTGGTTGAGAACAGTTCTTTTTTTCTGATTCACTCATTAGATTATGATGTTCATATCCTGGTTGGGATGGTTTTTAATTGGTTTGTTAAAATATGACCTCATGGCCTAATGATTCTTATTTTTCTTGTTATTATTTAATTATTTTTCTATCATTGCAATCTCTCTTAGGAAAGACTGCATCAATATCAAAATATTTGACATGGTTTGGCATATTGGTCTTCTTCACAAGTTGAAAGGTTATGGTATCTCTGGACAAATTTTTAAACCATTTCAGTCTCTCTTATTGAATTGTGAAATGAAAGTTGCATGGAACAGCCACTATCTTAGATCATTAATGCGGGTGTCTTCCAGGGTTCTATCCTTGGATCTATGATGTTTCTAATTTTCATCAATGACCTTACTGATGGTATCAGTGCTGAAGACAGCAACCATTTATCTCTGTCTTAATACTAGTGAGCAGTTCAATAAGTTCAAATTGGAAGCTGATCTCAGAAATGATCTTCACTGTTGTTAACTGGGGCAAAGAATGACTTGTTAAGTTTAATGCTTCCAAAATGAAACTGCTCTATTTTAATCATTTGAGAGAACCCTTTTTACATTTCATCAGCATGGCAGA